TCGAAGTTACTGGTCTCTTAACTCATCTGGTCTCTCTCTGGTCTCCTCTCGGCTCAGGTCTCTCACTGCTCGTGGTCTCTCTCATCTGGTCTATCTCCTGGTTCTCTCTGGTCTCTCTCTCATGGTCCTCTCTCTCTGGTCTCTCTCTGGTCCTCTCTCTCTGGTCTCTCTCTCTCTCTCCTTCCTCGGACTCTCTCTCTGGTCTCTCTCTCCAGGTTCTCTCTGGTCTCTCTCTCTCTGGTCTCTCTGGTCTCTCTCTCTGGTCTCTCTCTCTGGTCTCTCTCTCTGTCTCTCTTGGTCTCTCTCTGGTCTCTCTCTACTGGTCTCTCTCTCTGGTCTCTCTCTCTGGTCTCTCCTCTGCTCCTCTCTCTGGTCTCTCTCTCTGGTCTACTCTCTCTGTTCTCTCACTCATGGTCTCTCTCTGGTCTCTCTCTCTGGTCTCTCTCTCTGGTCTCTCTCTCTGGTCTCTCTCTCTGGTCCTCTCTCTGGTCTCTCTCTCTGGTCTCTCTCTCTGGTCTCTCTCTGGTCTCTCTCTCTGGTCTCTCTCTCTCTGGTCTCTCTCTGGTCTCTCTCTGGTCTCTCTCTCTGGTAATCTCTCTGGTCTCTCTCTCTGGTCTCTCTCTGGTCTCTCTCTGGTCTCTCATCTCTGGTCTCTCTCTGGTCTCTGGTCTCTCTCTGGTCTCTCTCTGGTCTCTCTCTCTGGTCTCTCTCTCTGGTCTCTCTCTCTCTGGTCTCTCTCTGGTCTCTCTCTCTGGTCTCTCTCTCTGGTCTCTCTCTGGTCTCTCTCTCTGGTCTCTCTTCTCTGCGTCTCTCTCTCTGGTCTACTCTCTCTGGTCTCTCTCTCTGGTCTCTCTCTTGTCTCTCTCCGGTCTCCTTATCTGGTCTCTCTCCTCTGGTCTCTCTCTGGTCTCTCTCTGGTCTCTCTCTCTGGTCTCTCTCTCTGGTCTCTCTCTGGTCTCTCTCTGGTCTCTCTCTCTCTCTATGGTCTCTCTCTGGTCTTCTCTCTGGTCTCTCTCTGGTCTTCTTCTCGTTCCCTCTCTGGTCTCTCTCTGGTCTCTCTCTCTGGTCTCTCTCTCTGGTCTCTCTCTGGTCTCCTTCTCTGGTCTCTCTCTGGTCTCTCTGTCACTCTCTGGTCTCTCTCTCTGGTCTCTCTCTGGTCTCTCTCTCTGGTCTCTCTCTCTGGTCTCTCTCTGGTCTCTCTCTGGTCTCTCTCTGGTCTCTCTCTCTGGTCTCTCTCTCTGGTCTCTCTCTCTGTGGTCTCTCTCTGGTCTCTCTCTCTCTGGTCTCTCTCTCTGGTCTCTCTCTGGTCTCTCTCTCTGGTCTCTCTCTGGTCTCTCTCTGGTCTCTCTCTCTTCTCTCTCTCTGGTCTCTCTCTGGTCTCTCTCTGGTCTCTCTCTCTGGTCTCTCTCTGGTCTCTCTCTCTCTGGTCTCTCTCTGGTCTCTCTCTGGTCTCTCTCTGGTCTCTCTCTGGTCTCTCTCTGGTCTCTCTCTCTCTGGTCTCTCTCTCTGGTCTCTCTCTGGTCTCTCTCTGGTCTCTCTCTCTGGTCTCTCTCTCTGGTCTCTCTCTGGTCTCTCTCTGGTCTCTCTCTGGTCTCTCTCTGGTCTCTCTCTGGTCTCTCTCTCTGGTCTCTCTCTGGTCTCTCTCTCTGGTCTCTCTCTGGTCTCTCTCTCTGGTCTCTCTCTCTGGTCTCTCTCTCTGGTCTCTCTCTGGTCTCTCTCTGGTCTCTCTCTGGTCTCTCTCTCTGGTCTCTCTCTCTGGTCTCTCTCTCTGGTCTCTCTCTGGTCTCTCTCTCTGGTCTCTCTCTCTGGTCTCTCTCTGGTCTCTCTCTGGTCTCTCTCTGGTCTCTCTCTCTGGTCTCTCTCTCTGGTCTCTCTCTGGTCTCTCTCTGGTCTCTCTCTCTGGTCTCTCTCTGGTCTCTCTCTGGTCTCTCTCTGGTCTCTCTCTCTGGTCTCTCTCTGGTCTCTCTCTCTGGTCTCTCTCTGGTCTCTCTCTGGTCTCTCTCTGGTCTCTCTCTCTGGTCTCTCTCTCTGGTCTCTCTCTGGTCTCTCTCTCTGGTCTCTCTCTCTGGT